TATATTATTATCTGGTTGTTATTATCCAATCATTACTATAGCTACTTTACAAGTTTTAAATATTCAAAAAAATTAATAAATATCATATGGATAATTATTTTAGAAGTATGATTTTTCAAATGGAAAGTAAGTTTAATAAGTATTTTAGGCTTATTCCTATTATTTTTTATTTGGGGGTTCTTATTGGTCCATGTTTGAAGGATATTGGCCTTTGAAGTTTGTTAAATTCTTTGTATAGTAACATGATAATAGACACTGATGATTATCAAACTATTACTGCTCTTACTCATCATAATACTATTAGAAATTATTTTCAAAGATTATATGATTAATATGTAGGTAGATATGGTGTAACTACACATTAGTCTGCAGCTTCTGCTTCTACGAGTTCAAGTCGGGGCAAAAGTGTGAATTTTGATAAGGAATCAATAGTAGCTGAGCTAACTGGTGGATCTGGACTTGGATCATCAACGGAAATTTCTGAAACTGATCAATATTTAACTGTATCTTTAGTTAAATGTCAAAATAATAGTTTAGATATTACAATGGTGGAAAGTATATGGAATAGTTTCATATCCTATACTTTCCATCATAGCTCGTGGCTTACTAACAATGCATGTTTTCACGGCAGCTTCGGAATCCGCCTTTAGCATAGTAGGATGTTTGATCGACTACCACAGAACATTGTTAGATACGTATATCGTACAGGTAGTAATGTGCCTACAAGATTAGTGGAGGTACGAGAAGAGAACGCAAGACATCGATCGGATGGCTGATATTGAAGATAAATTTAAAGAGTTGGGACTAGCAGATAGATATAAAGAGTAAACATTATTCATCAATTTATAATTTTTATTTCTTAGCTGAAAATTTATAATAAATTATTTTGAAAACAGTTACAAATGATAGTGATATAGATGAGTAGGTGCCAACCTCTAGTTAGAATGTATTCATCTATTGTAATGCAACGAATTTCAAAATAAATTTATTATTGTAGATGATTAACTAATTATTAATAAAAAAGTTATTTTTATCACTTAAATTTTTATAATTTTTTGTATTTGTAAATTATGTAATTACAAGTGATTAATAATATGATTGTTTTTATTAAAGGCTCGAGCCCGGTTTTCCGGGCCGGACCGTTTGGACAGCCTTAGTTTTGAGTGGCCATTTTTGGACTTATTTATAATTGAATTTGACAGCACTAGAGTATAAAGTTTTATAGTCCGTGGATTCTTACTATAATTTTAGAATTTCGATGAGAGAGATATTCGACATGATCAAAGAAAATTATATTCAAATCTTAATAGCTAGTAGCAAAATTCTAAGCTAAAAAACATGCTCAAGTTGTTGGAGTATGTAACAATATAAAATTATAGCCTTCAATCATTACAACAATTTGTCCACCCATCGCAGGTAACTCGGACAGCTGGAATATTCCAATATGACTTCCATAATCTTGTCGTTCGATTCTAGATCATATTATAAAAAAAAAACAAAAAACAAAAAAAACGATACCACAAATTTAGAATTTTGATATAATGATAAGATCTTTGACACAACTAAACTAAAAGGGTGAAATTGAACCGCAAGATGGTATTAGTTTTATTGAGTGTCGTGCTCATTTTCATCCCACAATAAAAAAAAAAATCAGAAAAAAAGAAAATTCAAGGGAGGAAAGGATAGAGAGGAACTGTAACGATGACCTCTTGTATTTCGTATCAATAAGTCTATATAGGAAAGACTTGTACATGATTCTCTTTCTTTCTCTAACATTAAAGATGCAATGAAACATTTCTTTATTGATTTTATTTAACTGAACCTTACAGTTTATTGCTTTTAAAAATAGATATGGGAATCCATACCTTGCGCCCCCCTTTACAATTTTTTCCCCTTGTAAAAAAGTAAATCTTTTAAGATACTCCCCCCCATTTCTCATCATGTGGTTTGAGTCATCTAAGTATGGCGCAATATGTTTGTGGATCTTTATGCAGTACTTCATGATCTTTGCACACTTTTGAAAAGTCATATATAAAGCTCTCGAAAGGAGATTATGACACTAAAGGGGAATCATTATTAAATTATAGCTAATTATCTTTTAAAGCATATATGCTGCCGATTGTTGCGACTAAACCTCTTCGCTTTACTTAATTTCTCCATTAGACCGATTAGTTTGAGTCAATTATTATATACATTTCTTCTCTTGTTGTTCTATCGTGATCTTCACCTTTATGGCTACCTTTTGGAGCTTGTTTGCATTCGAGTTCTCAATAGATACCTTTTTACTTCTATCCCCCTACCCCCCAACCCCACAACAACAAAAAAAAATCTTTATTTGGCATGTTAGTTTTCCCATTAACTGACAATTAATTATATTCTTGTGACCATATTAAGGCATAACCATTCGGTTTTTATAGCAGCCAATATTTTTTCCCTTTTTTGATCTATGGTTCAGATTCTTCATAGTGAAGATATATATATTGCTACATGGTTTCAAGTATAAAGTTTTCCTGTAGAAGCGAGAATTTTGTGTTTGTTCGTTATCTGTTGAATGGTTAATTAGTAGGAAAAATAGTTTAATCATCTTTTTTCCGCTCCTAGTTGGTGCATCAAAGACTGCTTGTTCTTTAACATAAGAATTAAACAAAGGAAAAAAAAAACAAGATGTCCATGGATCAAGAGTCAAATGCTCATTTCTCCTTTCCAAATGTTTACTTAAGATGAATCTTCTGTGAAATAAAAATGTCAAAACTAGTGTATGCACTGTGTCAAAACTAGTGTATTTCTCTAATTATGCTGCTTGATTCACATGTCAAAACTCTTTAAGAAGAAGAAATATCAAGTCACTATTCTATGTTCTGGTCCACCGCTTTGAATCTCTGGTCGATATTGCAACAAAAATATCAACATCCGACTCATCAAATATTACCTAGAGGTCTATTTTGGTGATATAAAACCAGTGGTCCCTATATGTAACAGTACAACAACTGCCTGAATATGATTTAAACCAGTTTCAAACTCGAATGATACTCATGTATCATGCTAAGTTTAGTAATTTGACCATTTAATTTAAACCCCCGTGGTCTTTTTTTAGATAACCCCGATAATCTTTAGAAATGTAAATTATCTCATTAAGTTTTGGCAGATAACTCGCTAGCTAACACCATTAGATCAACTGCGCACATGAAAATCATGCGCGTGCATGCAAATGATGAAAACACCTCTTACAAAGAAAACCCCTCTCATGACTTTTTAATTTAATGGTTTTAATAATAAGCAGTATCTTCACAGTTTAGGAGGGTTATCTCATAATTGCCAA